TAAGAACATGGAGTTTCTCTACCATGTTTATGATTTCTGAGATATTTTCCTGCTTTTCCATAGCCTGATTTATTCTCAAAGCAATGATGGGATATGGGTATTCTCATGCTAAGGAACATTAGCACGCAGGGCTACTTAGTGATATAAAAATAAAATTCTTTGTCCTCATAGGTCTCACATTCTATTTTATAATCATTTTCTTTAGTGCCAATCATTAAGTCTTAAATGTTAGTTTAGCTAGAAATACATACTTTCTCATTTGTAATCTCTAGAGAAAAATGGCAAAGCTTTCAGGAGACACATATTGAAAAAGAAACTATAGGTGCTAGAATCCTAAGATGCTAGGATTCTAACCCCATCTCACCACAAAATTGATATGTACCATTAAGCATGTCCATCCCCTTGGTGGGCCTCACTTTACTACACTGAAATAACAGATTGGATTCATTGTTTTCTATCATGTCTGTAAGTCATCAGGAAAAAGTAAAACATGTTTCTTAGCATCATATATCTTGAAAAGTCTATATTCCATTCATACATGAAAGCTAAAAAAGATTGATTTCATAGACACAGCAAGTAGAATCATGTTTAATACAGGCTAAGAAGGAGAAGATGGGATAATTTGAAAACTGGTCCAGAATCCAGTTATTTACATAGGAGAAATAAGTTGTAGAATTCTACACACAGTAGGGAAAGTGTAATTTTATAAGAAATTACTATATGTTTTTAAGGAGAAGAATTCTAAGGTTATCAGCAAACAGAAGTAGTGCATATTTAGGAACATGAAACTCTGATTATCCTGATTTGATCATTATATATGAGATATATGTATCAGATCATCACATTGTACCCTTACTCTCCCTTGACCTCATGGAGCACATGCTTTCTCCCATTTTTCCTTGCTTGGAATTCTCATTTTCAGATATTTCATGGTATGCTCTACCATCCTTTGCCAAAACTTATTCAAGATTGTGCCACTGCTTCTCCTCTTGCCCCAGTAAATTTTTTGACATCTTTATCTTGTTTGTTTCTTCCATGCAATCAATCACAATCTAGACTTACATAATAAAAACTTTAAGAAACTAAAGACAGAAAGACCTAATATGCTCATGGATTGGTAAGATTAATATTGTGAAAATGTCCATCTTCCTAGAAGAAATTTACAGAAATATGTAATCTCCACTGAAATTCCAACTTAATTGTTTATAGCAATTGAAAAATATCTTAAATTTCATTTATAAACATACACACACACACACACACACACACACACACACACACACACACACACACACCAAAACAATCCTCAAAATAAAGGAACTGCTGGAGGTATCACCATTCCGATTTCAAGTTGTACTACAGAGATATAGCAACAAAAATAGCATGGTGCTGGCATAAAAATAGACACATTGATCAATGTCTGAATTAAAGACTCAGATATACATTTACACACCCAGGGCCCCCTGAATTTTGAGAAAGAAGCCAAAGATACACACAAGAGAAAAGGCAGCATCTTTAACTAATTGTACTGATCAGACTTGATAGCTATATGTAGAAGAATGAAACTGGAATATTGTATATTTTTAATTATGTTTCTTTTGCAACAGAACAGAACACAAATGGGTACTAGGACTTTCATCAGTTTCATTCTATGCTATACCACAGCATTCTAGAACATTGCCTGGCACATAACATGTGTTTAAAGAATACCAGTTGAATTTCCTTTTTAGTATGCACTATAAAAACCTCGGCAACATAGAGAACTATCTACAATACTATAATTGGTATTTGTAAAGGCACTGGTAGAGTGTTTGGTATACTATAGGTGCTTAGCTGATGAAACAATGAATGGCCTCTCATTTAAAATAAACACATAAGGGAGCTAGAAAGATGTTCAGTGGGTAAAGTGCTTACTCTGTGAGCATAAGGAGCTGAGTTCAGATCCCAATACTCACTTAAAAAGCTAGGCATAATAGTTAACACCCATAATTCCAGTGATGGGAAGTGGTGATAAGTAGATTTCAGGGACTCATTAGCTAGCCAATCAGTGAGCTCCAGATGCAGTCAGTGAATGATTCTGTCTTAAAAAATAAGGTTTCAAGTAATTAGAGGCAGATAACTGATACTGATCTCAGGTCTCCATACATGTGTGTACATTCATATACACATGTACATACACATACATTACAGACATGAACACACTATTTTAGTGAAGGAGAAAAATCCATCATTCTTTGGCAATCTAGAGCAAGTGAAAAAGGTAAGTCTAGAATAAGAGCTATAATATTTTTGGGAGCAGAATTGGTTATGACTTCTAACTTTAAAAGGTAATGATACTAACAATAATTGTGACAGCCCCAATAGCCACTGTTGTTTGTTGCTATTTTTTTTTTGTTTTGTTTTTTTGACCATTGCACTGAGCATAGATTCCTCTGGGTCTACAGAGCCCCAAATAGGTATTATCTAGCTCTTCATAAAAAATATTCTTGCTAGTCTTTCTTTACCCTATACCAAGCATTTTTTCTCTTTTCTCCAACTACTTTTCTGGACATTTTTTCAGTCTCAATAGAGGATAGTTCCCACAAATCTATTCTCAACTGTCTATTCTGTGAAGGAAATACAGACCTCATCTTAGGATAGGGCCACCATCTTAGACCACCTGCTGTACTCAGTTCCAGAAAGGACCTCAGGAATGTGCCATGACAACTCGAACAGATACAGAGCAGTATCCTCCTGCAGATATTCTGTCTGCTGTTTGTGGCCCTTGAAGATATCTTGATAATCCTCCTGAGCAATCCAGATAATGCTGTTCAGCGGGTTGTGGTTCCCCACCAAAAGTCTAACCCAATGGTTTCAAATGTATTTTCATGCCCGAAGTCTAGACCAATAGTTTCAAAAAAATCACCTTGCCCCATATCCCTTCTACACAACCCAAGTTGCCAATTCCTGGCTTGTGGTTTTTCCCTACCAAAACTCTCTACACCTGGGCTCATGGCCACCACCACATTTCCTTCCATCTGCCATGTGGTGGCCCAAGTTGAACCTGAATAAAAGGACCCTGTGCTTGCATCAGAAACCGGCTCCTTGGTGGTCTCTGAGGGCTTCATGAAATGGGTACAATTCATCTCTTCATGTATTTTCCTGTGATAGTCTCATGAAAGAGTAAAGTGATCCGCAGCACCTCTGAGCAGTTTACTTCCCAATCACTAGCCAGGTGCAGAGGCTTTTAAGTCAGAGGCGCTCACACTGGAAGGTGCTATGAGGGTATGTTGAAGGAGCACACTATTCTTATTAATTGGGAAGCCAGGCTATCTAGTCTTGGCTTGAGATATAAATCCTTGTCTGGTTAAGCGCAAACACCCAAACTCTTCCTACTGGTTTTGATAGGACTTTTGTTTATACTTGTAACTTCCCTGCACTGAACTGTGTTTCTCTGTGGTACAGAGATCATGTGGAATTCATTTTGGTGATCCCATCTGCCATACAGGGCCTGGTGTGGAGTAAATGGATTTGAAGTAGTTGCTGAATAAATGTGATGTCATCCCTGTGTGATTACTCAGAATCGCCTTATTTAAAGCATGACTGTTAATGAAAGGAAGTGCAGACTAAAGCTGCTTGAGAAGCATTTTGTGAGTCTTTTAATGTGATCTCACAAGCTTAGAATATTGTTCTTCCATTTCAGAAATAAAAGAAAATATTCCAGTGATTCTTTACTAGCTGCTTACCTGACCTTGTCCTTACTTTATTTTGTTGTTAGAGAAAATAGCTTTCTCTGGGTCTCTCAGTGGTTATTTTTATTTTCTGAATTTCCAGAGAGAGAAACCATCTTTCCTTTTTGTTCATCAAGAGTAAGACCTAATTCAACAATTGGAGCGGTGCTTCCTTTCAGTGCAGTAATTGAGCTAATGTGTAGTTTTTAATCTGTTACCTCACTCTGAATGATTTTATGATCTCAAAGTAGAGTTCATTGGCCCACTGCTTTTGGAGTATACTTTGTAGATATTTAGAGAGCGACAAGTAGAGGCTATTTTATTCACAAGGAAGGCATTTTCATCAGAAATGCAAGATTTTTGAGATGATAAAAAATGTCAAAAGCAGTTATAACAGGCTCATTGTGAATGTGTCCACTGACATCTACTTTTTCTTCCTATATTGGTAGGAAATGGGCTTAAAAGGGATGGGACACTTTTCAAATCAGAGGTGACATGGCTAGTCAGGAAAGTTAGAAAAGGCACACATTGGAGATGGAGTGGGATTTGTAATTGCCCTCTTTAAGGATCATCTCCTCTGTGACCCTAGTTGGCATAAGACCTTTCATTCAGAGGAAGCAGGGTAAATCGAGAAGAAGAGAGGTCCAGTCAGTTTAATCACTGAGATGTGTGCAGCCTCTGGTCTACAGCAAGAGTCTCCTTCAGACTCTCACTGTAGTGTTGTGAAGTCTGGGGGGTGGCTAAGCATATAGGGTTCTAAATTAGACTATAAGTCTGGGAATGACAATGAGGCCTTACATCAGCATTAGAGTACATCCTTTTATATTTAGGTCAAGGTGTTTTACTATTGATATGAAAGTCTTCATGAAGAACCAGATAATCAGCTAAATAACCTTCACATTTTCAACTCTATTATGCCTTTGATTTTATTAACATCATTTACCATATATCAATGGATATTTCATTGACTTTTCATTACCAAGTGAATCACTGACAAATAATTGCAGTAGATTTAACTTTATCCCACCTCCCAGAAATGGCATGTGGCTTGCTATCTCATTAGTAGATATTTTATGGCCATAATTTAGCTTACAGATCTTTAAGGAACCACATCATTTGAAACTTTTCTGTCTCTCCATCAGCTGGAGCCTGGCTAGAATTCTGTGTGCACACAAAAAATGACTGCCTTCTTGAAATTGTCCTTCACTCTTGAGCAATCAATGCAAAATATGTGGGGTCTATCCAGTCATTTATTTTCATGAAAAAGCAATTTTTTGGTAGGATACTTACTTTTCATTGCCTACCCAAGGAGATGGTATCTGAGCAACTTTTGAAGCATTTTGCTGAAAAAAAAAAAGAGAAAGAGGGGGAAATAAGGACATCTATTTTGTGTTTATTAATTCAGAAACAGATGTAAGTGTGATTTAGAGTACATTAATATTGATTGCAGCATTTTGGAATGCAGAACTTGGATATATGTGCACATCAGCATACTACGACGCACACTCGATGAAAATAGCTGGTTAGGATAATTAGTGGGCTCCAATCAGGACCATGAAAGTCACTTGATGAAAGATCTTATATACTAAAAGGCCCAGTGAAATCAGAATCAGTTCTCCAAGAAGTGGTTTAATTATCCTCATCTGAAATTTATTCTGCAAAACAAGCCCTTTAGAGTACAAGTAAGCTTTTCACCTTTAACTTTAGTTGTAAACTTTTCCTATGGGATACAGGTTAGACTATAATGTCTGATATCCAAGGAAGATGTCACAAACAAATAAAACATTTTTGTTTGCTTGTTCATTATCAGGATTCGTTGTGATTTGTGGTCTTTACATGCAAATTTTCATGGCTAACCGTTTTCTCTGTTTAGCAATGCAACTGGTCCAGGGCTGCATTGCAAAGGAAGTTGTGATTCAAAACCTCCTCTTGTTTCTCTGACAGAATCTAGCTAATTTAAAGTGCTGGCTTCCTGGGGTAGGGTGGGGTATTGTTTTTGTTGTTTTATTTTGTTTTGTTTGTTTGTATCTGACCAAACCCTTGTGGATAAGAGAAAAACTTGATATTCAGCACAACTCCACCCTAACAGGGCAAGTATCAAGCTCTTTGTGATAGGAGTCTGAGTCATGTCTGCTCTTGACAGTTGTAACCAGGCTCTTGGTCTTCTACTGCCTTCTGGCCTCCATTCCAGCCCCCTTTGCAAAAGGAGTATTTGAGAGGGAGAGTCAGCATTTTCTGGAGTCCAGCAGGAATTCAGTGTTGCCCTGCTGTCACAGAAAGCTGGACATAGTATTAATTCTGAAGACTTGATTCCATTTTAAACCTAAATGAGCACAACACATTCACTGGCAGATGGATTACTTGCATCTGTTTGATGTTTTCCAATTCCCTGACAGGACACAGAGGACAGATATTAGAACAGTGGCTATCAGTGAGATGACAAAGCCAGCAGCATGAGAATTACTTGGAAACTTTCTAGAAATGTACATTCTCAGGCCCTAGCCCAGGACACTTGTTTGGGGGATGGGACCCAACACTCTGGTTTTATGGATCCTCTAGGGATTTTAGATGTTCAGTGAAATTTACAATCCATCTTTCTACAGTACACTGTGGGAAAATAGACTTAAGAAAGGACTGAGGAACTATTGTATGTGATCCCTTTTCACCCACATGAGCACTAGCTTTATGGCATTATATCCACACCACATAGTAACTAGGGATCTTGCTCATGTTCCCAGATGAGTCACAGTATTATCATTCAAACATACACTAGTACTCACAGGATATTTGCTACAAGGTCATGATGTTGTTCACTTCAGACAACTCAGACAACAGTTAGGTGCAGTGTGGCCAAGTGGTCTCATGTACTTGGCAAAATGTCATTTTCCTCTGAGGACATGCCAAAGGAAAGGAGCAGTAAACCACCTCAATTCTAAGTTATGGCCAGTGTTATCAGACAAAAGCCATATTGGAGCACAGAGTAGCCAAGCCTAGTACCAGGCTCCTGCTTGGATTTTTATGTGGGTTCATTCCCAAATATTGGCATTGCGTTTTGTGGTTACTCTCTTATTTGTTTGTAAATTAGAAAATAAAAACAACCTCAGTTCACTAGAGGATAACTTTGTCCATTTGTTTCCTTTGATAACCAACAAAATCAAATGCCTTAAACGGAAACCACAGCACTCCACGGTTTCCCAAATCATACAAAATAAGGATTACCTTAAAATATTCCATTAGTGATCTGGAGTACTTCATAGCATGATCCTTCTTCAGTTTAAACATCCTCAGATAGAGAAGTGACAAGCATCGGTAGCTGGGTGAGCATAAAAGGTTTAAGTTAGCAACAGTGCTTCATGAAGACTATATACTGTTAAATATACAAATTCATATTTTGCATCTAATCTAATCATCTAATCTCAGTTTGAGGAACATGTGTAAATAAAGACACTTTTAACAAATGAAGGTGGAATTATTAAAATCTCATTTTGATAAGGGTATAAATTGAGGGGGAGAGTAGATGTTTAGACAGTGACTGAAGAAATCCATTAGTTATCCTGTAATGGTTCCCTGGAAAGCCAGAATAATGATCTGGGGTAAGCTGCTTAAACTGATGTGGAGTATTCATATACCACTGCAGCATTTCAGCAGTTTTCTTTTTTAAATTTTCTTTTTATTTAATATTTTAAAATTATTTTATTTTATTTTATATTACAATATAATTTAATTCTACATATCAGCTACGGATTCTCTTGTTCTCCCCTCTCCAGCCCCCCTCCCCTTCCCCCCAGCCCGCCCCCCATTCCCATCTCCTCCAGGGCAAAGACTCCCCCGAGGATTGAGATCAACCTGGTAGACTCAGTCCAGGCAGGTCCAGTCCCCTCCTCCCAGGCTGAGCCAAGCATCCCTGCATAAGCTCCAGGTTTCAAACAGCCAACTCATGCAATGAGCACAAGATCTGGTCCCACTGCCTGGATGCCTCCCAAACAGATCAAGCCAATCAACTGTCTCACCTATTTTTTTCATTGTACAAACCAACCAGTTTCCCCTCTCATCCCTCCTCCGGCTCCCCCTACCCGCCTCCCCACCCCCATCCCCTGCTCCAAAAGGCTAAGGCCTCCCATGGGGAGTCAGCAAAGCCTAGTACATTCATTTGAGGCAGGTCCAAGCCCCTCCCCCTGCATCAAGGCTATGCAAGGTGTCCCATCATAGGTAATGGGCTCCAAAAAGCCAGTTCATGCAGGGGGGGGGGGAGGGGAGGGGGAGATGGATCCTGATCCTACTGCCAGGGGGTCCCTTAAGCAGATCTGGCTACACAACTGTCTCCTTTATGCAGACGGCCTAGTCTGGTCCCATGCAGGTTCCACAGCGGTCAGTCTAGAGTCTAGGAGTTCCCATGAGCTGTTTAGTTGTCTCTGTAGGTTTCCCTATCATGATCTTGACCCTCCTTGCTCATATTAACCCTGTTCCTTCTCTTCAGCTGGACTCCCGGAGCTCGGCTTGGTACCTGGCTGTGGATCTATCAGCAGTTTTCTTGTGGTCTCCTTGGAACTCACCATAATACTGCTAGCTTTTTGTCCCCATCAGAAGCTAAGGGGCTTGCAAAGTTCTTCAGCCTCATTGCATACCTTTGAAGAAAAGAAGAAATACTCAAGTGGGATCTTGGACTTTCAAAATTCTGATTGCCTCTCCACTTTTTCATAAAAAGTAGAGGACAGACTGGTCCTTTCTTAAAACCATATACAAAAGAATGATGCACACAGGATAATGGAACCTGACATGCCATCAAGAACTGAACTCTATGAAAGCCAGTTTAATCATGGATTCATGTTCTAGAATAATGCTGCAGAATTTCCATGAGTTTCTAGTTATGTATAAATGCTGACTGGCAAAATATTGTTTCTATGAGCTTGCTAGGTAAACAATATTATTGGTTTTATATGCAAGGTAGGCAAATATGTCAGTTCACTTTTTGACAGATGAGGCAATAATAAAGAAGCATGTCTGACATTGGCTAGGGAGACTTCAATCAGGTAAAAATTCTTTTCTAATGTCTCAAGCTTTGTGTATGTTCTTTTAAAAAATGTGTGCATTCATATTTGGGGTGTGTGTGTGTGTGTTAAAGGACTGATTTCATAGCATTTTAAAGTCTAAGCAACCCTACTTCATGGGGCTTGTATATTTTGCCTTTCCATTTTCATTGATTGTCACTGTTCCATGCTGCAGTTATAAAAGATCAAGTAGTTCTCTTTTTTTTTTTCCTTCTAGTTGAGCACATCTCATTCTGAGCATCCAGAGTCTTGAGAAATCAATTCATTGCATAAAATCATTGTCTGAGCTTTAATGCGATTTCACAGGTATTTATAGTAGAATAAGTAATCGAGTTCACTGTGGCAGAAAAAAAATTGAAGTACATGTGCAGGCTGTCTGGGTTAGCCCTCATTTATGGAAGGTGATAGAGAGTCTATTGTGTCCTCTTACTTGCCACTTAGAACAGCCTCTCCAGAGCACAAGGGGCTCGGGCTCATGCCCACTCAAAACTGTATTTCCTCAGCATGCTATCTGCCCTGTTTTCATGGTAACTTCTCAAAATCTGTTGAGTGAACATTTTCAGCAATGGGACTTACGTACTTGATGCGGGTGCTTTCTGTTGTTACAATGGCCAGAAGTGGTATTTTTATAATGTAATATATCTCACTTTCTTTGACAGTTGGATTACTGAAAAGTCAAGTCATTGTGGTGCATTCTTGTTTTCACGAATACATTTCTTTTGTAGGTCCCTAGGTCTCAGAACAACTCTAATTATTTGAAAGAAAAAGCAGGAGTCTGCCTCTATAACCAACAGGGAAGAGAGCAATAAAAATCTCTTCCATATAATATTGTACTACTAAACACTATATTCATATTGCAGTCATCGCCTAATTGCAACCACATTTGAAAGTGACTCGATAGTGGATTTTCAATTGCTGAAATGGGCCTGAAGACCTAGTTCATTTCAACTCATTTTATTCCCAATAGAAATTCCTCTCAATAAAAAATATGCACATCACAGAAAACATGAAAAATAAAAAAATATAGAGAACACAGAAATGAGTTCATGCAAAATTGGGGAAAATCTGAAATGAAAAACATCCTTGGTGAAATCTGATGAAGTCCGTGTATTATGCCAGTGCTAGTGTCCTGGTTGTGATTCTGAACTTTAGCTACAGAGGTTGTTACCATGGTAGAAAGTTTGGTGAAGCGTACACAAGAATTCTTTTTATAAGTTCCTACAATTGCATATGAATCTTTAATCACCTCAAAATCAAATTTAAAATAGTGACTTTAGAGAGAATGCCAATATACTCTCCATTGACTTTCACCAAGATTCCACCAAAATGTATTTCTGTCAGTACTAATATATCATGGAATGAAAAATTAGAGTTATTTTACAATTAAGGAAGAAATAATCTTGGAAGACTTTAGGGAAGAATTACTTAATGATTCACTTCATGTTTTTACCACAGAATGAAATTTGGTGTCTAGCTTGTGAATTTTAAGAGTTTTTATTCTTATGAATGAGTGTGTCTGTACAAGTTTATGTGCATCATGTGCTGCATGCAGGGAACCCACAGAGGCCAGAAGAAAGTATTGAAACCCCTGGAACTGGAGCAATACGCAACTGTGAGCCTCCGTGTGTGTGTGTGTGTGTGTGTGTGTGTGTGTGTGTGTGTGTGTGTGTGTGTGTGTGTGTGTGTGTGCTAGAAACAGAACCTGGGTCCTTTGCAAGAGCAGCAAGTGCTCTTAATTGTTGAACTATCTTTACGGTACCTGCTTGTGTACTTTTAGAAGAGCATATGTTTTCCTTAGAAAGTAATAAGAAAGAAAAATTTGTAGAGAGGGAAAACACCCATAATATCACCCTTTCACAATTACAGCTACAACCTTATTTCCTTCCACTTTGATTTAGATGCATGCACATTTTTTTTCATATTTTGAATTGTAGATAATTATGCAGCATGATTTAAGTGTTTTGAAGTACTGGAGATCAAATCCAGGGCCTCTCACATGATAGGCAAGCATCTACCATTGAGCTCCAGCCTTGATTTTACATTAATATGATTTCACATTTTCACTGTTTAGACTTTATTATTATGTGTCAGTGGCTGCAAAGTATTTTTGAATGTTCTATGATATAATTAATGACTCTACTATTGCTATTTTGTTACTTCTAATTGAGTGTTTTTATATACATATATATACACACATACGTATTTGTATATTCTACTCATACATTATGTTTTTCTTTTTTTCCTTTGTTTTGTCATTCTACTGTTTTATTTAGTAGACTGTAACTTTCAGATCAACATTAATTGAACAGAATCCCAATAGATCTTTTAACTTTCCTGGAGTTGATGCCTTGTCTTGTTTTGAAGCTATGCAGTAATTTTTTTTTTTTTGGTGGAGGGGCAGGGGTTGGTTGGTTGTTTTGTTCAAAAAAGGAAATGTATAATAATTCTGCATTGTGAAAATGCCTTTTAAGGAAATTCATATTTTCAGAAGTTGAAATCCTGTGTCCAGAGATATAAATGTTAGCTCATGTGGCTTTTTTTATATAATACCAAATTGTTTGCAATTTTCAATGATAAATTTCTACTCTCATCAGCAGTACAGGAGGAGTCCTACAATATGATTTTCTTCTATCTCTTTTTAAATGAGAGGTATTAACATTGTAATATTTTCTTGTTAACGTAGCATACATTGTTTAAATTTGCATATTTGAGTGATTCAAGGAACACAAATTGTTCATTGTTCATTAACTTTTCCCATCAATTTTATACTATACTTTTTCCAAAATGCTTATCATATATAACTTCAAAAATTGTAAGTATTCTTGACTGAGAAATCAATTTCCCCTTAAAAGCTACCAAAAAGTTGTGGCAGTGATAGCTTCCACAGTACATAAAATAAGCTGAAGAGGAATATTTTCCATTCTCTTGTGCCTATGTCTTGGAATAGCTCCGAGACAAAGATGGTTGAATGATCCAATGGACAAGGCTGTATCTTTCCTTGAAATCAACCTTTGTTTATTACTCTAACTAAAATTTCTGATAGTAATATATGAAGAGAAAGTTGTATAGTAAAGTAATTGGAACAAGAGAAGGTAGGGGGGAAAAGACATGATATACATTTTCTTTCATATACAGAAACTAGATTCAATTACAAACAAATTAATTGCAAATATTTGTTTTGTTTTTATATGTTATATTATATAACATGAAAGATGAAAGAGTATTGTTTCAGAAGAGGAAAGGAACTAGCTGGAAGGGAAAGGGAAAAGGGAAGGAGGTAGGGGCAATATGAGCAAAGTACCATGAGATCTGTATGAAAATATAATGAAAGGTCTTATTTTGTACATTTACAAAAATTAATTAAAAAAAACCCTTCGAATCTATGGTTTTTATAATAGTTCTCCACTTTTGCTCTTTGAAATACTTTCTTTGGGAAATTCTCAAGGTAAGTCTGTCCAGTGTTTGTTTGAAGGCTTCTGTACAAATATCTGAAGCTATTTAACAGTTTATATAGAAAAAAGTATGATAGTGAAAAGCAAACTTTGCATTGCTAAGAAATGGAACTGGCAGGAACAGAATACAAGAACTTCTCAAATAAAGAACTACTAACTCAGATTAATTAATTTGGTGACTGGTGAATATTGCTCAGTAGTAGAGTACTTATGCAGCAAGAACAGGGTATAGGTTATGACATATATGCATAATCATTCATCCTCAATATAAAATATGATTATTTTGTCCATGCAGTGAACTATGGCACACGTCTACTCTTTAGGGAGAGGTTACATTCCTTTTCTAAGATTTTCAAATCACTGGAAAATAGTAGACTATTTCTTTTTCTACTTCCTTTTTCTTTTCTTTTTGATTTCCAATTAATTTATTTCAAACTAGACATCAGAAATTTTCATTAAATATATGAATACAATAATATAGAGTTAATATGTCTTCCACTATCTTCCTCTTTTCTTGATCTTCAACCCTGCCAACACTGCATCTGAATTTCTTATTCCAGATGCAAGAAAATTCTTCTATACTCTTATGACATTAAATACTGATTTTGAGTTAGAACAGTATCTCCTTCCAATGAAAAATAATGTCTTATTTATTTATTTATTTATTGTTGTGTATATGCAACAGTCCATGTTTGGAGGTCAAAAAAACAACTTGCAAGAGTCAATTCTTTTCTTTCTGTATGCAGGCCCTTGTCATCAAACTCAAGTTGTCAGTCTTAGAAGCAGTCACCTTTACCCAACAGAGACGTCTTGCCAGTCTCTCCTTCCTTTTATAATAATCCAAACAGAAGGCTTTAGAAAACATGGCTCTTAATAGAAATCTGGAGAGCACTAGTTTGTTTTGAAAAGGCAAGTCAATGCCACATGATAAAATGATTATACTTTACTTTCACCTGTGACATCTTAATTTTAATGTAATGAATATTACAAATTATCAGACTCACGTTATAATCTTTGAAGGGGATAATTTATAAAACAGTGTCCATCTATTATAAATATTCTATGGCATCAATAAAATGGCAGGAACTAATTATAGCCTTTGGGCACATTAATTGTAGAAATGATATTTAAGCAAAAATCATTAACAGCTTCTAACTCTATATAAAATTACTTTGGGAATATGACTCTAGGAAAGAAATTTACCTGAGGAGCTCCACAGTCTCAGAATACATGGTATATGGAGACTTTGCTTCCAGAGGATCACGTTCCATGGCATTGCCACATTCAGTGAAGGAGAGGGCTGCATCAGCATAATTAACAGCTTTGCCAAATTTCTCAAACTGAAACAGGAAAATGACTGTCAGCATGATAGTCTTTGTTCACCTTCATATAAAGGAATCATTCACAACTGTGAGTACTTTTGTCCCCATTCCCCAGGGAACACTTCTCATTAGACAGAGGTATTTTGGGGAGTTACCACTGAGGATAGGAGACACCTAGTAGACTGAGACTAGAGATGCTTCTAAGCATCCTAAAATGCAAGGGACAGCCTTTGCAATGGAGAACTAGATGCTCCAGATGTTCAGCTTAGAAGCCCTGACATGGAGAGAGGACAGTGTGCAAATGGATATTAATGATGATGGAACTGGTTTAATGCTCTATTGCCCTGACACTGTGGCTGGCTGAAAAAAAAAGGCAAATGCACCTGAGGCATCAAAATGGATTATAGTACCATTGTTGATGTTCCCATCACATTTGGGCCATCCAGAATCTAAATGAATACCTTGACTAGCTCCTAATCACTAAGTGTACTGAACTGACTAGAGATTGAAGTGTCATTTAGTCAGATCTCACAACTAAGCTCTGCTTTTGTTATCTTCACAGTCTGCTTCCTGCTTTAGAATGTCATGAGCACATCAACCCAATCCCAAGGTGGAGAATAACATTGAAAAATGAGATGCTTCAGTAGGAGTGTAGACAACAATCACATCATCTTTATTGTAAATTTATTGTAGGTTGAAATAGTGTTGAAAAGCCCAAAAATATAGCACTGTTAAATATTTTACTTTAGTGAAATTTTATTGCAAAAGATTTTAGCCTTGATAATGGCCATGATTATACTGGTTTAGCCATACTGATTTCTTTTTCATGTGTAATGAATATTATATTTGACACTTTCATAGTGAGCATTTTAACAGGATTTTACATTTTCAATTTTTGATAGATAGATGTAAGAATTCTACTAATATGGAACTTTATGTAAACAAACCATTATAATGTAAATTTAACTGTTTAAATTTTTCGCATACCTTTTATCAAAATATTTCTTATGCAATTGTGAAGATTTCAACTTTGAAAATGACAGAGTAGCTCTCTCTGGAAAAGGATTAAATATAACTATACATGTACTAAAGAAATTCTATGATTTTTTTCTGTAATCCATTGCACAGAAATACCGCTTTTCATTAATTGAACTTCTGTTATAGAAACCTAAGTGTATACATATAAACTAGTTTCTTTTTGTTTTGTCTTATTAGATAATCTCCATATATATTGAGACTTCAAGTACCTTTCCCCTTTGGGAATTGATTTGTATATTTTGGTTTTTGAAGATGAATTTTCATTCACAACCCACAGCTGGAACAATAATTAAAGCTTATTAAGACTCAACCTATTGTTTTCCAAAAGGAGCAAATACTGAAGTCTAGAAGAAAAATTATATAGCCATAGTGCCAGTTAGTCAGCCTCAGTTTCTTCATTCCAAAATTGAAAAATTTGAACTAGAAATATATTTCTAACAGTAAGATAGATAAAACGCTCAAGGAAAATATTCTGATTATGTTTCAACCTTTTCCCCTGTGATTACACTCCTCCAAAGAATTTCCAAAGACTTAATAGCAGAAAATACTGAGTATCTCTTTATGTGACTGTTTTGAAGGGCCCCAGATCTAGGTAGAAGCTAGTATTTTTCCACTTTACTCTAAGAATCCATTTTTGCCCCCATGGAAGCAGTATCTCCACAGTTGTCAGTGACATAATTCCTTAATCATATATTTGGGGATCTCTGTAGGTTTGATATTTCTTAGTTCTTCAAATGGTCTCACATGTTCATCCTAGTCTTTTTATCATCCCATGTGCCACCTTGTCAGAGGGACATTCATATACTTCCTCACTCTAGAATTGACAACATTTGGAGAAAACCTTTAGTCTTCCAGGCAGCACCATTGTCACACAGTAGCTGTTAAATTGTTGGCCATCATCCAGTGATCATAGGCAAAATCTACACAGGACTCTTCAGTGGCATCCTGAAGCCTACCTTATTATTTTTGTCTGCAGTGGTGTAGTAAAATAGTTTCCAGGGGAAAATTCATAATACATAAAGGTTAGCTTCAAAAAATAACTCGGCAATTTAAACAGTAGTGAGAAATGACAAAAATAGGGAAATAGCAGATACAATGGGCAAAGGCAGTTGATGTTAGCTACACATTAGTTACAGCGTAGAGCTTGATATGATGTTTCATCACAGTTTTTTGAAGTGTCAACTGAAGCTAAAGGCTGAAAGGGCACAATACAGTGCTTAAGCATAATATTTTTTCCTCATTTTTCCTAATAATGCCATTGAACTGACATTTGTACTTGTTCTGAGATATAGTAAGTGATGAGGAGCCTAAACCTAAGACTGTCTCTGGTACCATGGTTATCAAATAGTTACATTTGAATGCCAGCTGGGGAGCTTTAGTTATTATGGCAGGGTCTCAGTCCATAAATTCTTATTTCATTGTTTTGGGATGTAGCCTGAGCAACTCAAATGGCTGCAACATGTAGTTGAGACTCCCTGTTAGGAGGATCAATTAGGATAAATGATTCAACATAGTAAGTTCATCACTAGTTTAGGTCAACTAAGACCCTGAGAGATAGCTAGCACTTATTTCATGAGAAATCAAAATGATAGCATTGTCATTCTCTCATCAGAAGAGAAAAGCCTGACTAAGAACATGGAACCTAATGCAACAAGAATCTGAGCTTTCTATGTAGCTTACATTTCCCCAAATCAAGGTTTGATACCCATTAAGTATGACTTAACACCTTCCACCTTTTCATGCCAAATTTGGTTTATTGGACCCAATAAAAGCTCCCATCATATCCAGAGCATGTTGAAAAGTAATTTTAATTCATATAAAAGACTATAACGATAGTACATACAAGTGAGCTTCCAAAGTTGTTTCCAAAGTTGGTTCAAAGGAAGAAAAAGTGATAAAGAAATAATAATATGAGAACCCAAGTCAAAGAACTTCGGGAATCATGGTACTACATAATTCACATCCTCTCATGTTTCTATGTAAAAGCAGCAATGCTTTAAAAAGATCTAGGTGGTACTACTTCAAGTTTGCCCCATTTGCAAAATGCATTCCTTGTTTTCATGCAAAACAACATATTTTTAGTAGGATGAAGCAATGAAAAGAAAGAAACCTACCAGTGCATCAGCTTTGTGTTTCAGCTTCTTAGCCTCTTGCATGTAAAAATCAGCATTGTGAACACTAAACAAACAAAATAAGCTCTTTTACAAACCAGTGGTTCATCTTTTCGTTTAGAAACTGAATAGTACAAATACTTTGGGCTATTAATTCATTCCTACATGGTGCTTGACAAAAGTATACTAATTTTGTCACTCATATATAATATTTATACCAACCTTGAAATGACACTATAATTGGACTTTGAAGTGCAAGATGGCCTATTAGGACAGAAATCTATATCATCTAACCCCACTTGTTACAGTTGCCCAAACAGGTCATATAAAACCTACCTATAAATCCTTCTATATAACTGAAGTCATGAATAAGAATGCATTAAAAATAGCCTAGAGGAAAGAATCCACCTTGGGAAACAGTAACGAAGATCTAGGATTAAAGTGGGCTAAATACATTTCTTACTGGTGATGGAGATATGTGTATGGAAGGGATTTTCATTTAACATTATAGGAATTGATATGAATTTCTTATATGGGATGACACATGCATGGCACTAGAAAATTCATACTACCCTCATCCCCAATCACCATTCCCAAACTGGGTCTGCAATAATCTGGAAACAACATACGAGTCATCAAAAGTGAGCTTGGGTCTCCGGACATTGGTGCTGTTGCTGGACAGGAGGGGCAGAGCTGCCCAGGATGTCATCTCCAGGTGACTGCTATCCATAAGGCCAGTAGTAATTGTAGAGGTGATGGTAGAAATAGTAGTAGTGGTGGTTGTGATAGTGGCCGTGGCAGTGGTGGTGGCAGTAGCTGTGACAGTGGCAGTGATAATAGCTGTATTGGTGACAGTAACGGTAGCAGAGGCAGCCTTTTTTGGAGTATCTCCCTCCTGGAAAAAGGAGAACAAATAGCGTCCATTAGATCTGGCTTTCTCAAAACATTTCTTCACGAATATCAAGCACAGTAGGAAACACAGCAAGAAAAAAGAAAAAAATATACATAGTATGAGGATGGATACGTGATCCTGTTTATTTTATGAATTTTGTGGATCGCCAGCTTTTGTTCTCTGATGACACTAAACAGTAAACTAACCAGTTGCTGTGATTACATAGTCCCATGGTCATATTAAGACTGGCATGGCAAGGGTTTAAATCAAGAAGAAAATCTGAAAGGGGAGAGGAAGGAATAATATAGAGGCAGAGAAAGAAGAAGTTGGAGAAAGGGGAAGAAGTAAAGGGAGGGAGGGAGAGAAAAATATCAGGAGATTTGGCACTGTTCCACAACTGTGTCCTGGCTGACTAGAAGCTGACACACCTTTTTTTCCTCATGAAGCCCTTGATTGCTATCTGACAAAGTGAATGCCATGGTATTTTGAAGCCTTAAGAGAGTAAAACCTCATTTGCATCAGGTCAAATACTAAGTGAATAAGAGACTTCTGAGGGCTTTGTTTTGAATTGGCATTGCTGAAGAACAGATGGAACACAGAAGAATGTATGTGTTGAGAAGAGGAACTATGTGCTCACACTGTGTCACAAGACTGCCTGCCATGTTCACATGGTAGATTGCTTTTCCCCACCTGACAACTGTGGACAATCCTGACTTTTCTATCTCTGTTAATACTTTCCATGGTGCCACTTACTCCTTATACCCTTACTAGTTTGTGTCTCCCTAAGATTGCTGTGCCTCAAAGTTTGTCCCTCAGTTAACTTCTTTCTTGATCAGACTTGTCAAACTTGTATGTGTTGACACAGATTCAGCAATGAACAGATGATTCCAAAATGGAAACATCAATCTTACCCTTTGAAGCTCTGAATCTGCAGTGACCACTTCTAAACATATCCACCAAGATGGCTCAAATTTCTCTCATAAAATTGGTAGGAAAACAAGGATTTTTATTTAAAGGAAGGATGGTGTCCCGTCTTGTAACTTAGGAGCTTGCAGTTCAGTTTGCCGTTCCTATGGATGTCTCCATCTTAGGGGTATTGCAACTGTCAGGTAGGGACAAATGCTTCCTCCACTAGCAAAATGGCCTTGTGCCTGTAGTCAGATGTACTTTCATAGGCCCCTTGTTTCTCTTCCTTTTAAGATATAAATCACCAGCCATTTTATATTCTACTTTGAGCACAGGTATGTCTCATTGGTCACATCAGATTAAAAGCCATTTCTGGTTTATGACTCTGCCCCTTCACCCAGTGCTCTTAGAATTTTCTGAGTGTGTCCAGGCACATAGGAATGCATGTTTGCCATAGTGAAAGAATTCTCTTTAAAGATAAAGGCTAAATATGGTAGTCCTTAAATCCATGATCATTGATCTTTTCCACTTGATCCTTGACCTTCATGGCTATCAGATAATTCATACTACCTAGGCCACATTGAGATAAATGTACAGAAACGATATATGTTTATAAATTCTTATGATGTATATAGAAAAATACTTTAAAGACCATCGTAGATTGCATGTAGATTAGACCTGTACTGCTGTAAGAGACTCCTATACCAGCTCAATGTCTACACTGTTAGCGTTAGACTGACCCAGATCAAATGGTAGAGTTAGTTTAGGACAGTGTCAACTGTTTCTATGACCAAGATATGTGGCATGAACCTTGAAACCACACATATGGCATTGATGATAGTACTGAAACATCTAACTGTAAAAGATTAGATACAGTCATGATTGTGAAAAGTATAAAGACATGAAATCTGCCTACTAATCCATTCATTTTAAGAACTCAGAGATGTGTCATACAACATGAAATAATGATGCATTTCCAGGAGAAAATATACTGATATTTTTAACATTTCCCCAGTAATTTTTAATCTTTTGTGTACCTGACTGTAGCTTCTTGAAGCATTATCTTTCTCATAATAGAATTTATAATACTTAGAATAAATAGTTTAATTATCAACATTATAGATTATTTTTGGCTGAAGTGATGTGTGATTTGATGATTCTTTAACTTATGTGACTATATATACATATATGTGTGTGTGTGTGTGTGTGTGTGTGTGTGTTTGCAAATATGGAAAATGTCAACTTCACACTAGCATACATTTTTATATTTGTAATAATATTTACCTAGATAAGCATGTCATCTAGGCATCTTAGTTATCTTAAATAAGGGAGGCTTGTACATTGGGGTCTTCAAAGCTAAGAACCCTCATTGCCTTTTATGAATTGTTAAATAGACTATAGAGTTCAGGTCTGAAAAAGTTATACCAGACATCTAAGAAGTTACTCATTTTTTCATATTTAAAGAAAAATGGACATATATGGGTGATATATATCTTCATTTTTTTTCTTCGAGACAGGGTTTCTCTGTGTAGTTTTGCGCCTTTCCTGGAACTCACTTTGTAGACCAGGCTGGCCTCGAACTCACAGAGATCCGCCTGCCTCTGCCTCCTGAGTGCTGGGATTAAAGGCGTGCACCACCATGGCCTGGCAATATCTTCATTTATTGATGTATATATGTATTCATATATCTATATTCAAGAGTAGATATATATTGGTCATTGACATTATTTATTCTTTAAAATTAACATTCTTTAATTCTCTCATGGTTTCAATATTTCATATTCCTACACCTTAAAAATAAAGTAACATTGTGTATGGATATTGAAATGACACCATTCCATAATCTATGCTAATCAAGCTGCAATGCAGAAAACCTGAAGGACTGTAGAGTCATTTAGCTTAGAAATATTATTGGGCCTTTTAGAAATACATTCACCATTGGAAATTATTCCAGCTTAACCTTTGTTTTTCCAACAATCACATTTGCAAATTTGAATGGTAGAAAGAAGCAACTTGGGATTCCTATTCCTGTTTAGTGACGTTAGGTGACCTTGATTCCATCTATTTCTTTCACCTGCTAGAAGATCTGTGCCTTCCACATGGCAGTTTCTGTGTTCAGCATTAAGGCATTGCCTTCCCCACCCTCAAGATACAAAGAGATTGAATCAAAGGACACTATTATTATAATAAAAATAATAATATTAATATTAAAATAATAGAGAGTTTGAGTATTTTTATACAAAGACACAATTGGCTTTTCTGTGCCTATTACACCCTTGTAACATTCCTATGGCAAAGTCACACTGGTTGAGCTGCATTAACCTATTTTTGCTTAACATAGTATTTCCTCTAAGACACTTACGTTTATGGTTATCCCTTTGAAAGTAGCACAGAATTTGCCTTCACTTCTCTTAGGTTTGGTAGAGGTAAGTGGTCCAGCCATTGAGACGTTTTTGTCTTGACTGAAGAGCCCATTGTTGCTACTGGCATTTCTGCGACGTGGAGGGTCCTCTGACAGTGGGGAAAGCGCAGGAGGAAACAGCTTTTCTTCTTTTTTCCTGTTTGCTCTCCTGGATGAATTGCTATGCAAACAAAAAGTGTAGGGTGTCATAAAGTTGCATCTTGCTTTCTTTGGAAATCTCATCACTATGCTGTTCTTTTCAGCTAAAGTGATGTCTAACTTGATTCTTTACTGTATGTGAAATATATCTATAAACACAGAAAAATACATAGAGTTAGAATCTCACTACATACATATGAAGATATGTGCACACATACATATACAAGACTCATTATTTCTTAGAAACAGAATCCTATGACCAATGTAGATATTTAATGAGTGCTACAGTGTGATATCTGAAACAAATCAAGATTATTTTCTATTAGATTTTTTATAGGAAATGCAATGTAGACTTTAATCCCTTCATTTTTCAGGATACTTTGTGCTAAGATTTAACTAAACAATCTGAAATAAATGGCACAGTAAACAATACATTTCATATTTTAAAAGATATATTATGCTTATACACTAAGAAATAAATTAAATTAAATAAATAAAAAATTGTAAATTTGCTGTAAAAATGCTGTAAGCCAATGCCAAGGAATAAACATCCATTCACCTTAAACTGTTAAATTGAAGTACTGATGTAATACACTTTTAAAAAGGCCACTTAAAATATTCTTTGGTGATATCAACAAGAGACATCTGCAATACTAAAAGTACCCCTGTGCTTTTAAGGAGATTTATCTGCCCATTAAATGGGCATCATCAAACAGACTGAGAATTCAAATAAAACAGAACAACTAAAATCTTATGCTAACTGCTTTACATGGTAATTGGGTCAAGGATTTTCATTTAGTTACTTTCTTGGACTAATCAAGGATGATTACTTGAATTTTAATCTTTTCTTAGACAACTAATATTGTACTGTGCAGCCATTTACTTCTCATAATTATTGACTACAATTTTCAATGGCAAATTAAGTCAAAAAGAATTTATGTTTTCCTCTTGGTCAATTTCAGTCAGTGTCTAGATATATAGATTTGCTTTATCTCAACGCAGCAAATCAAGGATGAACAAGAATTCAGGTGATCTGATTTCCTGAAAGAAAAATAAGTGCAACCTGCTTGTTCCCTTTTACTATGTCATACAGATTTAGCAATTATAATAATACATGCCCTCTTCCTCATCTTTTGCCTCATAAAGGTGACTCTATTTTATTGCCATGTAGTTAACATTTTAAACAGTGAAAATGTTTCTGCCATTATCTTAAATGACTAAAATTAATATAAATACTTCCTAATTATTTTTAAAATTCTTTGAAATGTCAGCCATTTTAATACAGTTGTGATGCCAGATAAAATGATATAGTGAACAAATAGATCAAGATTTTTGTTTTAGATTTATGTTATGTGTGTCAGTATTTTTCCATTAATGTATATGTGTGCTGGTGCCCGAGGAGGTCAGAAGAGGGTGTTGGAGTACCTGGAACTAGAGTTACAGGAGGTTGTGAGCCACCATGTGGATTCTGGGAACCAAATCCAGATCTTCCTCAAGAGCAACAACTGCTCTGGACCTCTTAGTAACCTCTCTAGCTGCAGATCAGGATTCTTATCCATGAAGAAATTCCATCAACAATAGAACACATAAAGTATAATAATTACAGTGATACCTGAGCTTTGGAGATATGTATGTTTGTATACACATACAAGTAAACCATTATTGTGACCTCTACAGGAAGTGATTCATTATTTGTAACCACCCCCATCCACTTGAGCTGGCTGAGAAGGTAGTAGGGGCTTCAAGGTGAAAAGTTGTTTCTGAGAGGTAATTGATCTTAAATTGTATGCCAGCACTTTCCCATCTGCTACTGACCTGATAAATGGAAAAACAGTCCATTCTGTGCAATAGGTACCAGTGTCTTAGTCCCCTTTTCATCTACCCAGTAGAAAACTAGAAATGTTGGATATTTAATAATCTCATTGTCAAAAGACATCCAGGGGAATTTTTCTAAGAAAGCTCACTGTGATTGTTTTCAAGCACAAAAAGATTTCTCTCATATTTTTGTCCTTCTTTAAATAGGATAGAAAAGGACAGTAGATCAGGAAGAAAGAACATCACCATGGCTTTGTCAAGTTCTAAATGTGGTGAGGTATTCAAAAGAACATTCTTAAGGTTGATGGGGTAACTCCAGTTCTTACAATCAAATATAGCATCTTTTCTATGTGCAGTATGTTTATTTAGAAAAGTGAAAATTTTTCTCTTAAGAGTTTCTAAGGATCCAGAGTGAAGGGTCAAAGAACAAAGGAACAAGTAAAGCTTGCAAGAGTGCTGTGGGATGTCGTTCTGTATGTTGTAAATGTGTGTTGCTCTGATTGGTTGATAATTAAAATGCTGATTGGCCAGTAGCCAGGCAGGAATTACAGGCAGGGTGAGCAGATGAGAAGAATTCTGGGAAGAGGAAGGGCTGAGTCAGGAGTCACCAGCCAGACACAGAAGAAGCAAGATGACAAGGTAAAACTGAGTAAAGGTACCAAGCTACGTGGCTAAACATAGATAAGAATTATGGGTTAATTTAAGTGTAAGAGTTATTTAGTAAGAAGCCTTAGCTAAGCAGTTATAAATAATAATAAGCTTCTGAGTGATTATTCTATAAACAGGCCACAGGACTGTGGGGGCTTTGCAGACTGGAGAAACCTCTGGTGATATTTTGTTTGTACTTTAGTAAATAAAGTTTGCCTGGAGATCAGAGGAAATAGCAAGCCATTTTAAGTAAACAAAGAAGTCAGGCAGTGGTAGCACATGCCCTTAATCCTATCACTTAGCAGGCAGGATCTCTGTGTGTTCAAGACTTCACTGGAAACAGAGCCAGGTGTGGTGGCACATGTCTTAATTCCACAGCAAGGCATATAGATGTGGGTAGAGAGGAAGTAACTCACATTTGGAAGCTGCAGAGTTGGTGAGGTAAGGTTGGATGGTGGCTTTCCCTATTTCCCTGATCTCTCTAAGGTTCCATTTTTTTTATTTAATAAGACTGTCTAGAAATTCATCTACAGAAACCTTCCTACTACACAAGATGATTTCCAAAAGAAGACCCTTAAGACACCAATTTGTCTCATCCTTCCTCAATTCCAAGGACTTGATGCTGTTGACAAACCTAAGACCATGTTGAAGGCCCTATCTGAATAATAAATATTGCTTCCAGGGAAATAGTAATTTCCCATTTACTGAAAAAGCAGAGTGCATACAAAGCCTGTGCTGTAAAAAGACCATTTCTTAATTGTGAGTCACTTTACTCTTGATTTTGACTCTTCTTTTTTTTTTTTTTTGGTTTTTCGAGGCAGGGTTTCTCTGTGTAGCTCTGTGTAGCTTTGCGCCTTTCCTGGAACTCACTCTGTAGACCAGGCTGGCCTCGAACTCACAGAGATCCTCCTACCTCTGCCTCCCAAGTGCTGGGATTAAAGGCGTGCGCCACCACCGCCCGGCCGATTTTGACTCTTCTATAAAACAAAGCAACAACTCAATAGGTTGCTTAGTAATGTTGCTTAGTAAGGCATTGAATGTGTGGCTCTTTTCTACTGCCCTGGGCTCTATCTTTTTATCTGTAGACACTTCAAACTTGGCCCAGCCTAGGAACTGAGAAATATTGTACCATCACTATGCCATTTTATTCTGGAAGAAAGACTAGGAATGATTATGTTTGACCATCAAGATCTATGCTTCCTCATATACCTGGTTGACCTGAGCAAAACTGAATCATGTTGCTTCACTGGGTTTCCTTTTCTGAAAACTATGTTAATGGATATTGTAGAGACAAACTCTACCAGGGAGTACATAATATGTCACAAATAATAACTGATTTTCAGAGTGTGGGGCAGGCATCTTAGGGATCAAATGTTATTATGCGGAGCAGGATTAGAGGAAGGGAGTCTGTTTCTACCTTTCATTAAAACAAGACGCCAGACCCATGCAAGCTAATAACTTCTTCCCAACATCTCATCTGTGGCAGATTGATACTGTAACACTGATGTTAAATAGTAATCTGTGAGATCAATTGTTAGCAGCAGTTGCCCAGATTACCTCTCTGCTTTGGACTACTAATAGACTCCAAAACTGGGCATGATGGGAGTAATCTCCAATGTTGAATGAATTTATTGCAATAATTACACAGACAGAATGTCTGGAGTAGCTGACATGATTGTTAGTTAAGTGATATTTATAAAACAGAAGGAACTTGTTCACAATACTTTCTTCTCTGGAGAAGGATGATGTTCTTTGACTGCGAAAAGGACAAGGAGGCCTCCTGCTTGATCTTGGAAACTTGCCAAAGAGAAAGAAGGGAGAGGAGGGCCTAGTTGATTAGAATCAACATACCTTACCAGGCTTTCTTAACACACAACTGCCCTCCATGGGGGCAGAGCACAATTTCCCAAGCATGTCATTCTCCTGGCCTTTGTGGAGTCAGGATGCAAGTACTGGTCTTCAAGCTTTGTATTAATATTAGGAAATGGCATTCAAAGTAGTACCCTATTTAGATCAAGGGAAATTGTCTAGTCTCCATCAGAAGTGAACCCTGGCCAAAAGCAGATTGATCTTATTAAGATGATATGTGTTTTTCTGATATTTTCTCTTTTTAATTCACTTTTTTTTATTTTTTGTTTGGTGCAAAATCATTCTTGGTTCTAGTCAAATGTTCTAATGGGACAAAAAGCCCCTAATATGTTCAAACATGACTTTTTAAAAAGTGAAAACATTCATACAAGGGCCAACTTGAAACAGGGAAAACTTACTCTCTAGTGTTGGGAGGCTTATGGGGTGGGGCTGGTGAAATGCAAGGAGGAAGCAAGCAGATAGTAGTGTTGTCCTCCAGGCGTTGCTTCTTCTCAGGGATTTTCTCTGCAGCTTCTGCTGGCTTTTACAGGGGAAAAAATACACAGATCTTGAAATACACCACACATTCAAAAAAGCATGTTTCACACATTAAGAAAATGAAAAAGACAGTTTGCTTCTATTTTAGCTTCTAGATTAGGTTGGAGAGTTAAATGAGTAATTTTTATCAGACAGAAATGCAATAAACCTTCCCTAGTCTAGTCCTACCAAGAGGTTGGCATATGAAAGAGTTAAACTTCAATGTAAATCTCTGATTAAAGATTGTGTAGCACAGGAACCTCGTAATGAAAGTGAAGAGAATTTAAAATTTTCATATATTCCTTTCATCCATGGTGCCTTTACAAAGTGATAATTAGGAAATGAACATTGTAATCTCAACACAGTACAAATCCTGTTTAAACAGCATGGGGCTTGTGGGTGACCTACAAAGGCTGTCTATAAAATCAACAATATGCAAGGGAATGGACCATGCATAAAATGTCTTTCGTTCTTAAATGTGTTCATTGCAAAGACACATTTTCACTCTACTGTTGTCATTAATAAGAGAGAATAATTGGGGGAAGATCATGGGTCCCACACTTCTTACTCTTCTGGAATCCTTTCATTGGATATATTCCTGCATGATTCACTAAGGAGCACTGGGATTCTCTGTCCTTGAAAGCCTCTCTTCAGGACTCACCTGCCTCTGAGAATTGCTCTGCCTCCTAGCCATCCTCTTTAGGCAGTCCCTCCAGCTTCCCAAACTACAACATTCCCATGACTCTTATTGTTCCATTTCCCTAGCACTCCCCACTTCCCTAGTACTCTTCTGTCTTCTTCTGTCTCCTGTCACCTAGGAAGCACCTGCTACTTAGCAGTTCCCTCTGTCCTAGACTTCTAGAGCTTTCACTCCTCTCAGTACTTGACTGTCTCCTAGATGCCCAGTGCCCTGCCCCTATTCCACCACCTAGTAATTTCCTGTATCCCAGGAATCTCAGTAGCATCCAGGCTCCTCATACTTTCTGTCCCTCAGTGTTCCCTAGGCTTTAATGGTTTCAAGTCCTTTAGCACTCCCTAGTTTTCTATTACCTAGTTATCTCCTAGGTCATTCTCCTAGTACTGTCCAGTTTCCTGGTAATTTTGTGTATCCTAGTGGTCTCTAGTCTCTTAGTGTAGCCAGCCTTGTCTCCTAATACACACTTCTAGTCTCCTAGGATCTGCCTGTATCCTGGTGCTTCCCACATGCCTAGCATTGCCTACTCTGTCAGAGCTTCCCGCAATCTCTTACCACTCCACTATCTCTTAGCACTCCACAGTTTAATACTGCCCAGTCTTCTGCTTCTCACTCTCCTAGTGTTCCCCAATCTACTAATACTTGTTGCAGCTTAGGGACCCCTATCTCCTAGTTATCTCTAGCCTGCAAACATTGCAAAAAAAAATGTTAGCACTCTATTTCTTTGCACACCCCACTTTCCAAGTTCTTGTCTCCAACCTATCCCTACATCCCTAGTGTTTCCTTCTTTCCTGGGATGTATAGTCTCCAAGAGTAACTCTGTATCCTAGCACTCACATATGTCCTAGGATTTGCCTGCCTCCTAGTACTCTCCAGTCTGTCACTGTTCAATAGTATAGTGCATTCCAGTGGAATAGTGTTTCTCATCATTCAAATACCATTTGGTCTACTAGCACTCCAATGTTTTCCCAGTATTTTGTATTTGTCTATCTCTCAGTCTTCTAGTAGTCTCCAGTCTCATAGGGCTTACCAATCTCCTAGAGTTCTTTTGACTTACAGACTGTCTAAAATGCCCAGTCTCCAATTATTTTCTTTCATCCAAGCACACTGGCCTCATTATGCTCCACTCTACAACTGTTTTTCAGTATACTGCCTGCTGGGCTCAAAGTGCTTATACCCTCAAATTTATCTCTAGATGCATGGTGTTCCAAATAACCAAGGCTTCTTGTCTCCCAACTACTTAGTCTCCTGTCACTCCCTGTATCTAAGTACTTCCCTGTTGCCTAGCACTACCTGTCCCTGAGCACTCCCTGTCCCTGAGCATTCCCCTGTCTCCTAGCACTCCCTGTCTCTTCTGACCCCCATATACACTATCACTTCTCAGTCTTCTACAGTTCCTTGGTTTCCTCAATCCCTTTTCCATGTACTAATCTATCTGCTAGTTTCCTTAGTTTCCTAGTATTCCTCTGTTTTGTAGAGCTTTAGTGTCTTAAAGTTTCCCATTGTTCTGGGACTTGTCAATATTCTACCCTATCCCAGGGTCTTGCTGCTAATTTTTAGTTCCCCTTAGGTTTCCAGCACTATGTAATGTGCAATTGATCTCTTGTCTCCTAGTGTTCCCCAAATCTAGCGTTATCTAAGTCCTAGTGCTCTGTGGTCTTCTAATACCCTATTGTATTCATGCTCCCCAGAGTCATAAGTGCTCTTTTGTCTTCACTCTACAGTCTCCTACCAGACTTTGACCCCCTAGTACTTTCCTATCTCCTAGTGTTCCCCAGTGTCCCAAGGATTCATTTCCCTCTGTGGTCACACTCAATCTCTTAAAACTCCCTCTTCACCTAGCAGTTTCCTTTCTTCAGCACTTTTCAGTCTACCCATGATTCCAGATGCTTTTCTTCTATCTTTCCCCTGTATCCTAATGCTCCTTGTTCTCATACCCCTCTCTTCTGACATTTACTTCATTTTAGTCACCTCCAGTCTCTTCTACTTTTTAACCCTTTAATTACAAAGGAATGAAGACTCTCAGAGTACCCCATTTAATAAGTCACTGTTGTCTACAGGTAAGCTTTTCTTCACTAAACAACATGAACAACGGCCATACTCAAGATACCCCCTCCCAGAAAGAAACAGAGGGAATAGTCAAATGAATAGGAGTTGCATTTTTACCTACTATGGTGCTTTGAGGAACACTATTAGCAAAATATCACCACAAGAGAACATCATTCTAAAAAATTAACCCAAGATGTAGAGGTAAATAAGAAAGAGATTATTAGCTATAAACTCATATGTCTAGACATATTTTAATTGGTAAAAGTCACTCTGAATTTCCCCCTATGGTGACCCTATGCAAGCCTAGAATTTATACCAAAGCATGTTTAGATGAGATTTTCACAGAGTAATCCTTACAAATAGGTCAGTAATCCTAAAAGGCTATCTAAAGGGTATGGTAGATGTCAGGATACCCCAGGATAGCTGACTCATGAGTGCATTAATATGTGTCAAACATGAATGAACGTAGAAGATGTACTTGGCCATTGTGTGCAGATAGGCACTCTGCTGATGCTAGAGTGGGAACCACTTGCATTAGGAGCAACTTAAGGAGCTGACTCCTGGGACTGGCTACCTTGGGAAAGAGGCTTCTTTGTATTCTTATTTCCTATATGTCATAATTTCTCATAGTCCTTAACAGCTATCTTTGCCAATGGCTACCATCACAACCTGATCATTCCTAACACTGTTGTCATATGTCAAACATTTCATTCCTCTTAAAAAAATGTCATTTCCTTTACCAAAGCTTGTGATACCCTGCCATCGGTCTCCTTAAAAAAACACTACAGATGAAGTTAGACTCTGCTCACAGCCACCTGGCAGACTCCACTGGGCAACTCACCTTATGCTTACGCTTGCCCTTAGTGGCTAGTTTTTCCACAGCGGTGGCAGCAGTTTGACGCTTCGGTTTTGAGGCAATCTCCTTGTGCTCTGTCTTGGCAGGTGTTGCTGGGACTTTGTTTTGGCCAGGCACTCTTGAAAGTAAGTCAAGGTCAATCTTCACCCATAGGTTTTTTGGATTTTCATGATCCCGTAGAGGGGACAAAAGCTCAGTTTGCATGGCAGGAGGAGGTGAAAAAACTGTCTCCTCATTGCTGGTGGGTAAGTTGCTGCTGTTGCTGTTGCTGGTGGTCAAGGTGGTAAGGGTCAGGCTAGCATTAGAAGTATCCTTGGATTTAGAAGTGTTATTTCCAGGAGCAATGCAAGGAGGCAGTACTTTGATCTGCAGGGTCTCTTCTTGGTCTGTGTTGGAGTCAGATGTAGATGAATCTGTTTCAATGAATTCCCGGGACTTTGGCACAATCTTCCCAGGCCCCCTAAACTTCTTCTTCTCGGTGGCCAAAGGGGCATGAGGCCTTGGTTCTTTTCTAGGGACTGGTTTATGGGCAGTGGTTTTGTTACGGCTTCGAGGTGGATCAGGAAACTCTACACTTTCTTTTTCTTTGGGAGTGCTGCTGGTAATATTTGGTTTGGGCCAAGTAAACTCCTCAAAGCTGGTGTTTTTCTCAACTTTTTTGGGCTGTTTCTTCCCAATTGTCCTTTGAGAAACTGTATCAACTGATGTTGACAACTTATGCTTCAAAGCCTTTGTTTCTGGGGCTTTTTGATTGGGCCTTGGTCGCGCTTTCTCCCTAATGAGGCTGAGGAGAGGTCTTTCTTTGGGTCCAGCCACAGCCTGGCTGGGGTTTGGTTTCACTTTGACCTGGACTTCCACTGGTTGTATTATTGGAGGAGGCAGAGAAATGGTCTTCATAGGTGTCTCATTTTGGCCACAAATAAATGACTTATTCTGGGATGTGACTTTGTTTAGCCATTTGTCTAGCTGCCATTTGTTTGTGGAGGGTGGCTCAGGCTGCAGATTGAGAAACAGTAATAAGGATGAATTTCACATGTGTGTAATACTTTAGGGGGACTTTCTGTATAGTGACTATTTGCTAATAAAATGTTGGATGATGTGGGCTGGGAATGTAGCTAATAGAATACTTGCGTAGCATGCATGAAGCCCTGGGTTTTGTTCTTAGACCCATATAAACCAGGTGTGGTTGTAGACATGAAAAAGGGTCCAATGTTCAAGGATATTTTTAATTACATATCAAGTTTGAGTTTGAGGCTATTTTGAGCTACCTGAGACCTTGTAAACAAAGAAAACAGACGACCTTGGGTGTTAAGTGACAATCAGCGCATGCGCGCGCACACACACACACACACACACACACACACACACACACACACACACACGGGGAGGGGGGGGGAGAGAGAGAGAGGGAGAGGGAGAGAGAGAGGGAGAGGGAGAGGGAGAGGGAGAGGGAGAGGGAGAGGGAGAGGGAGAGGGAGAGGGAGAGGGAGTCATTGAGAACACACTTTCAGTGAAAATTGGAGTGATTTGTTTTCCCCTTGTATCTGATTAGATAAAAGACATCCAGCTACAAATCAACCAGTCTGTTTTTTTTTTTTTTTTTTTTTTAGCACCAGTTTCTATTGTCCCTTTGGAAACCTTCTCTGTTCTAGCTAGGAAGTAAAGGGTTCTTCACATGTGGATGCTTCTGACTGTAGCCCAGGGTTCCTGAGAGAGAACTCTGTTCCTAAAGTCTTTTGCTAAGAATTATTGGTCACCCTGTCACCAAGAGACAGAGGTAATGGTGTCTTATCCTGAAAGGAAATCTAAGTGCGTCTGAAGCATGTTCAGAAGGAAAAGCTTTCCATCTTCACAAATACTAGGGTCTACTAGACAATGCTGTAATTCATTGAAAACAGTAATGTCTTTGGGTTTTTCCTGAAGGATTAAAAAAATTGACTCCCTCAAGCCACTACACTTTCCTAAATGCATGAGCAATAATCAATTTTTTGGGGATGTGTATGTAGACTTTAGCATTCACTATTTTTTAAAAGATTTATTTATTTATTTGTTATGCATACAGTGTTCTTCCTGCAGTTACCCCTGCAAGCCAGAAGAGGGTACCAGCTCTTATTACAGATGGTTGTGAGCCAGCATGTGGTTGCTGGGAATTGAACTCAGGACCAGTGGAAGAGCAGCCAGTGCCCTTAACCTCTGAGCCATCTCTCCAGCCCCCTAGCATTCACTATTAAGCAATAGGAATGGTATATTCAATTCAGGTTCTTCTGAACTGAATATTCAACTCTGAAGTCTACCAGTTTAAATAAAAAGCCATCATTTTTAAAAAATTATTTATTTTTTTAAAAAAGTTTTTTTTCATTTTACATACCAATCCCAGGTTCCCCTCCCTCCCCTTCTCCTACTCCGCATCTCCTCTAATCCCATCCCCCATCCACTTCTCAGAGAGGGTAAGGTCTCCTTGGTGAGTCAACAAAGTCTGAAAAGCCATCATTTTTATTAGAAGACCTCTTCTGAAAGCCACCAAGCATATGGCATCAGTAAATAGAAGATGGCAGAATTAAAAAGAGTTAAGTAGCTGTGATCCATGTCTGTAGAAGACAATAGCAGATAAGTAGGAAGGAAACTATGGGAGTTGCTGTTCTTAGCAGTGTAGTTCCAGGTCTAAAAGCTAGCTCTGGCAGCATACTGAGCTGGGTTGCAGGCCGAGCTTTACTACTGTATAACTCTGAGAGCTTGGGGTAGTTTTGGTTTAACTTCTCATAAACATACATTGTTGCCTATAAAATGGACTATAGTGAGAGAGAGTACAGTATCAGATTGTTAGGAAGAGGAAATGAGAAAATATAAGTCAAGTGTCCAGCACAGTATTTGCTATTTTTAACAGCAAGAAAATGACTATTGCCTTCTATTATTCCTTTTTGGTTATTGAAAAAGAAATGTATAAAGAGCCATAAGATGAATTTAGTTGTTGTACCGTATGCAAGGCTTGGAACCAGAGCACTTATCCTCAACTCATAGAGGATGGGAAGGGAAAAACCTAATTCTTCTATTTCAAAGTTTTTGTTCTGGTGTTTTGTGGTGCTAGGCTAAACATTTCATGACTTATTATTATCAGACACATGGTGGAAATTACAATAAGGAGCATGGGACTGCTTGAGTGCTGTTTTACCTTTATGGAAAGGCAATTTCTCAAGTCTTCCTTGTTTAGTATCTATTTATCACTTTAATGACTTTAAAATAGACTTAAGGGTAGGCATCTTCAGATCGAAATGGGTCATGACTGAATTTGTTGGTTCACTTAAAACATTAGTTGTAAAGCTTCATCATTAATGTACTAGTTTTTTTGTAGAATGAGGCTTGAGGCTAAAACTAGCTAAGTGACTGCCACAGAAAATCAGTCATGCAGCAAGCAATCTGTACAATACAGATTGAGCCACACAGAAGGAATCTACATATGTTAGGACATATACAGATATATGTTTTAAAGAAACAATCTTATCAAGTCTCTGGCTACTTTTCTGAAGTAGTTACTCTACTAAAGGCTGGTGATATGTGGCATGCTACCTTATGTATCAGGACATAGATGGATGTTGGAGTCTTGACAACTTCACTCACCTCTGGAGTGGCCACTCCAGGAGCCTCATTGGATTCACTGTCGGTAGTGCTGCTTTCAGTGTCTGAATCCGATTCTGAACTACTCTCTGACTCACTGGAGCTTCCAGACCCCCCATTTGCTTGCACTGCAGGTGGAGGCCGCGGTGTGGCCAAGAGTGGGCTGAAAGAAAAATGACATCATTTATTGCCTCATCTAGACTCAGACTAGAAAGAAACAGCCCATTCCACATAAAGACTTATTATCTGTGAGCTGCAGGCAGAGTAGAATATAGAATCCCCATCTGACAGAGACAAAATATAGGGCTCTAGGAGCCCACTGATAAGACCAATGTCAAAGGTTTGATTAGAACCAAGCACCTTGGCCCAGCACAGTTTCTTTTCTTCCAGGAAAGCCTCCCCACTTTCATATTCCACATGAAAACTTTCAGCAGAGATGTCATACCTTATGGATACAGACTGGAAGCTGAGACTTAGATGTTTTATTGATTTCAGTTACTTTTTCATTTTTGTTGCTCTCTTCCCTCCACCCCTAAGTTCTTGGAATATAGTCCAGTGTAGTCACATTTCTAATAACTGATAACTTCAATTATCCTTTTATTGTAGGAAAGTAAGGTCCAGGGTGAAGGAAAGATGTGTATAGACCTCACAGTAGAGGCTAGAACTTGGCATCATGGTGCCCTAACTCTGTCAAAGGAGCTGTGCTCAGTCCATGTTATTCCAAGGGTCTCAGGTATGGTCCTCAATTTCAGTCTGTTGAGTTCAGGAGTAAGGAAATGAGAAAGTGTTCTTCACTATCATTTTTGTAAATAATTTGAAACTTTTATCAGGGAGGTAAGATCCTAAGGGAACAACTATCTCCAATGATTGATTTCTAAATTTGTAAAGCTGAACAAAGTATTTGAAAAGTTACACCATTTACTACTCTGCCTTTGTTGGGATCCAACTCTTCTTTACCAATCATTTACTCTCTGTGCACTACACCAAATCAACAGTCTTGCAGCATTCTGTGGCACAACATTGTTTTTCTGTCTTTTTGTCTATTGTTTCTTTGGACTAGTTCTGCTCTTCATTCTATTATGAATTGTGCAGAAAAAAAACATAAAAACAACAACTGCAAAACAAAAAGAAATTTTGAGGAGGGTTTTCATCTCAGTGAATCTTTTCAACTCTGTCTTCCTTTGGAGATCAGTTGAACTCAAAGTAAGGGTAGGCTTGGGGCTAGTGCATTTTCCCTGTGATACTAAGTCTGGTCCCTCCTTTGTTTGCCACACCACCCCCATGCTTCTCAGGTCAGACACTATTGCAATTTTCTTGGCTTTCTCGCTTAACATTCCTCAAATGTGAGACAAAAAGTTCAAACAAGTGGCCATGCCCTGACCTTGGAGGCCACCTAATTCTCTGGTCACGTCTTCAAACCTAAGATAAAGACATTTCAAGAATTCTCTTGTGCAGGTCTCTAGAAGCATAGAACTTTATTCCTTGCCTGAAACTATAGAAGTTCATGAACCATCCAACACCCTCTGCAGAGCCTCTTCTCCAACACTGTGACTCTCATCACTGGGATGAAGATTACCTTCCCTGCGGCTAGGGAAGAGATGTGATTCTTTTATGGCAGCATGGGTTCTTCATCAGCCACTATTCAACACAGAGAACCATTTTCACCACATAAAACTTCAATCCCTGAAGGCTGGTCCTTTAATCTCCTAGGTAGACATTTCCTTTCATGGAGCAAAGACTCATCTTAAATTGATGGCTGCCAAGTAAATGCTATCCACAAGCACATCTCTGCCAAATACGCCAGGACATTAGAGGAAAGCACAAGAAATAGGGGACTAGATCTCTTGGGGATATGTGTGCATATTTCTCTTACAAGGAAAGTGGAGGAAGCCTGTATGTTGGTGTTTGTATTTCTCTGCATTTCTTTACAGAACTCCCTTTAGGTGCCAGTAATGACTCCATACTTATGCAAAATACCCTTTAAATTGAATCAATTAATTTTTCATCTTAAGTTACTAAATAAAGATTAAGGGAGTATATCTAAGTGAGACTAATCCAGAGCTTAAACAAATTTGGTGCTGTGGGATGTTCTGTATGCTGTGAATAGGTGTTGCTCTGATTGGTTGATAAATAAAATTCTGATTGGCTAGTAGCCAGGCAGGAAGTATAGGTGGGATAAGCAGACAAGGAGAATTCTGGGAAGAGAAAGACTGAGTCAGGAGACGCCAACCTGCCATCTAGGGAGTAGCATGTAATGGCACACAGGTAAAGCCCCGGAACGCATAGTAACATATAGATTAACAGAAATGGACTGAGTTTAAGTGTAAGAGCTACTCAGTAGTTAGCCTGAGCTAATGGCCAAGCAGTTTTAAATTATATAAGCCTCTGTGTGTTTACTTGGGGGATGCAATTGTGAGAGATTTGGCGAGTGGCAGTCTGGGACACAGGAAATATTCCTAATACAAATGGCATCCAGATGTGGTGGCAACAGTTTCCATCTAAAATCTGAGAAAGCCTAAAAGAAAAAGATTCTAAAATGGAGCTAAAAATAGCTTCCTAGTTGTGTCTCTCAGGCCAACTGCAGCCTGCAGGCTTGAGCTACAGTATGGTGGGTTTGTGGCATGCAGGCTTGAGTGTGGCATGGTGGATTCCTGCTATGGTACACAGAGATTTCTCCAAGGTGCAAAGTATGCTTCATGGTTCATATAGCCTTTGCTAATACAGACAATAAATAAATAAATAAATAAATAAATAAATAAATAAATAAATAAATAAATAAATAAATAGAATAGAATAGAACAGAACAGAATAAAGAGGTTTCTGGGCTACAAACTGCAGGATGGAAGCATAGACCCACTGCTTCCCAGAGTTGGCAGTGAGCATGGTTTCTCCAGAGCCGGCGGTAAACTTAGTTCTGTCATGTTAGGAAGCTTAGGTGAGTGGAGCCAGCAGCCAAAGCTGCCATTTGAGTCCTAGCCACTGCAATTTAAAGCAATAGATTCATAATAAGTCAGATTCAGATGGAATAAGACTTTAAAAGGTTTATAGTGTATGTAAAAATGTATGTAGGCTTGGAAGAGAGAGGAAAATGAATATAGACAGTTATATAAAGAACTAGAAAGTTTTAAAAACAAAGTCCTTAAAAAGAAAGTAAAAGTAATATAAAAAGATAAACTACATAAAGATGGAAATCATACACAGAGTCTGGATTATATTGTCTTTGGGATTTTTAACTCCAGAGAGATATTTGAGTATAAAAGCTGCTGAATTAAATTAATATGTATATTTTAAAGATAACTTGACTTCAAAATTTGTGTCTAAGGATACGTTGCTTCTAAGATAATATGGTTTGACCAGCCAAGACCCCCTGAAAGGTCTCAATGACACCACAGCCAGATTATCCAAAATCCAAAATCAACTTCAAGGCAACTGGATCAGAGAATACAGCCTCATAGACTACTGAGTCAGGACTTGACCATAATCCTAAAATTTTCTTTGTGTCCCCATAAGATTACTAGTGCCTCTATCAGCAAGAAGTAACCCAGAAAACTACTCCCACATTCCCAAAAATTGGATTATGAATGTTTGTCTTTGTTTAGGTTGTTGGTTACAAATTGTTATTGGTCATACTCAATATCTTTTTAAAAGAAGAAAGGGGGATATGATATGGAAATATAGGCTATAGATATGATAGGATAAAAGGATGGAATGTTGAACCTACTTTTAAAGAGCAACAACTTGTTTAAAATGTTTTACATTACTGTGGATTTTAGTTTATTGATACAAATTTAAAGTTAATTTTGTTATACTGTATGTATATTTCTACTCTTGTTTAAGGTATTATGTTTGTGCAGCTCATTTAAATTGTAAGGGATAGTTAAGAAACACAGGTTAATAATTAGTCTTCTATGATAGTCAAACTTGTAGTCATGTTAAGTTTCCTAGGTATACATAGATATATTTCAGTTAGGTAGGTAAGCTTCAAACACTTCAAAGACTTATAGAATATGGCATTTAAAATGTTTTAAGAACTTTGAATTTCTGGACATTGAGACATGTCTGCTCCTGGCAACACCAATCTACTTCAGAGAAGATAATGGGTGTTGAAGGAACTCATTATGGAATTTGCTTTCTTTGCGGCAAAAGTTAGCCACTGGGCAAAAAAAGTGCCCTTGCATTGACTGCTTGATAATATGTTGTATAAACTGGACTTGCAGGACCCATAGGAAGGTGAACACTGAACTTTGCATGGTTCAAAATGGTCCTTCAGGTTCCTGCTTCGCAGAAGACACTGCCAAACATTCTACAGGACACAGAAAAATGACTGAGAGACTCTAGACCTATGGGCTAAAAATGGGTGCCCCAACATTGCAGAATAACTTTAGGTGACTGTCCAGGCAGCCCCCTGTCTCTTGTCATTTCTAGATTTTTGGAAGTTGCTTACAATGCACTTCCTGTTTACTTAGGTAATATTATATCCTTCTGAGGTCTTTGATATTGTTGAAGACTTGATAATAATAATTATGGGTATGATAAGATATAAGGTAGATATAAAACCTTATACTCACAAATTTAGGATAGATTGAATATTTTCTTTAATTTTGCCAAATACAAATAGACTAGATAATATTAATACTGTAATTCTTGCTTGATATCTGTTCTACACTATGTAATTTTACTTTGTTAAAGTTAAAACCTTCCTTTTTGATTAGACAGAAAAGGGGACGTCCTGTGGGATTTTCTGTATGCTGTGATATGTGTTGCTCTGATTGGTTGATAAATAAAATGCTGATTGGTCAGTAGCCAGGCAGGAAGTATAGGTGGGATAAGCAGACAAGGAGAATTCTGGGAAGAGAAAGGCTGAGTCAGGAGACGCCAGCCTGCCATCCAGGGAGCAGCATGTAATGGCACACAGGTAAAGCCATGGAAAATGTGGCAACATGTAGATTAACAGAAATGGGCTGAGTTTAAGTGTAAGAGCTACTCAGTAGTTAGCCTGAGCTAATGGCCAAGCAGTTTTAATTAATATAAGCCTCTGTGTGTTTACTTGAGTTTTAATTAATATAAGCCTCTGTGTGTTTCTTGGCAGGACCAGAGAAAACTCCCGCTACAAATTTGGTATCACTATCCCTCAAACACAGTTTCGATTATAACTTAACACAT